CCTTGAGCTTTAGCAGCATCAAGCACATTAGTATGTAATTAACTGCACGATCAGCAGAAAAAAGTGCTTGCACTTTATGTAATCTCAAAATGTGTTAGTACTTTTTTTTTTTTTTTTTTTCACTGTTTGGGTGGTCCAGTAACAGAAGGGCTCAAGGTTAAAAAACAATGAAACTACCATATATAGAGATACCTCTGTAATTTCCCAACCCTGCCATTTGTTCATTAAGATTGGTGTTTCATTTTTTTTTGATTGAATTCAGATGTTTTTATATAACTGATTATTCTTCTCTTAACCTTGAGGCTGTGCGAGAGGTTAATACACTCTAAATGCTGCTGGTTTAAAAAAACAAACAACTTAATGTACTCCATATTGTTACTCCCTACCATAAGGCCTATGGGGCTAACATGGGGGGACTTGGGACTTGGTTTGGGAACCTGAGGGTCCCCGTCTCAAGTCCCAGTGTGGACCATAATATGGAAGTTGCGACTGGGAGCTGGAGAGGTGCCAGGACAGCTCGCGAGCACTGCCAAGGTGCCCCTGCATGAGCAACGTACCGAACCCCTAACTGTGGTTAGGTGCGCTGTGGTGGTAGACCAGTCGTTTGCATTTTGTAAAGATTTGACTAACAAAATAAATTATACAGAAATAAAAGTGTGCAATCATAAACACCAGAAATTATAAAAAATATATATTAAGATTCAGTTAAAGAGGAGAAAGAGCAGAAAAAAATAACATGAAAAACAACTTCGAGGATGAAGGTCAGATAACATGAAAAATAATTTTTAAAGTGAAGTTGAAAGTCTTAGCCTACTACATGTAAAAAAAAGTGAGGTTGTTTTTTTTTTTATCTGGCAATCCTTTCCACCTTAACCTGTTGCTTGGAGGATAAAGTGAATGTGTTTGGGTTGAGTTTCCTGACACTTTCTGTGTATGGCTGGAAGGAGGAAGCTTCCCCTAATGACATCCAAGGAATTTTCCCACAGCTGAGGGAGAGGGCAGCCAAGGGATTAATCTCTTTTACATGTTTGGAGGGGAACAAGATGATGCTGAGTCCCAGTGCTCCTGTCACCTCTAAGTCCTGGAGGTCACTGCCCATCTGCTTGTTTTGTTTACGTAAGTATTTTATCTGTATGGTTTTGAAAGGACTTACCGAAACAACAACAGTATGCAGCCCTCAGCATTTTACCTGTACGGGAACAGAGAGTAAACATTACAGTTTACCAACTATTTGGTCTCAGAGCATAATTTTATCCTGTAAACTTGTATTGAAAACAAGTCAATTCAAACTTGAAAACTTAAAAAAGGAATGACTTATTTATTTAAGAACTCCAAGCTGATGCATTCACATCTTTACACCCTCTCTCCTTGGTGCCTCTGTTGGAAGCGTCCTTGTTGGATTCCTGTATGTTGCTGTGTTTCTGCGTGTTCCTCATATTGAAGAGAACCAGACTATTAAACAAATACTATAAGTGCATTGAAATATGCAGAGAAATTGAAAATCACTTGTTAATTTCTTAATTTCCAAACCAAATTCATTTCTTTTAATAAACATGAGAAATTGAACATTACTTGTAACTTGTTAGGGATGGAAATAGAAAGCTTTATATGCAAACAACATTCATGTGTATCAGTGTTTAACACTGATACAAATGGAGGTGTTTATTCCAGTCAAGCCCCCCTCTGCTCAGTAAAGTGAGTAACAGCAAAGCTCAGAACACTTTATCCAGATAAACGTGGTTTAAGTTCAACAGTATGAAGCTAATGTTTTACGTCAGATTTGGCTCCTTTACAACAAATGTTAGGTAAGGTATGACACACCGAACTCTTTGAAAACATGTTTTTCTTTTGTCTGTCTGTCTGTGTGGCGTCCTGCTGCTGGACGTGGGGACAGTTTTCAATTATTACCTTGGTAGAGAGATGTAGAAAAACTCCAGGCTTCATGTTTTACTTGTACTCCATGTTTAGATTTAGGGAGAACATAACACAGAACCCGACTTTAAAGCATTCTTCCAGACTGACTAATTGAAGCACATAGGGAGGTGGTTTCATGCTCCACTGTAACTGCAGATGGAATAGTAAAACTGCTGCACCTGTTTCAATGTTTTAACCTCAGATGTTGGACTGAAAATAATTGTTGTTTTTTTCTGTTGTGCTATTGATATATTGCTCTTGCTATCTATTGTTATATCTGATAAATGGAATTGAGCTTGTATATCCAGTCTTGTGATTACTCGCTTTTTTTACACCGCAGGTCACACCATTCACACACTGATGGCAGTGGTTGCTAGGTAACGTGACCATCAGCACTAACTAATTCCTTTAATACACATTCATACGCCACCAATGAAGCAGCGGGAGCAACCTGGGGTTAAGTGTCTTGCCCAAAGACACATCGGACATGTGGCTGCAGGGGCTGGGGATGGAACACATAACTTTCCGGTTGAGTGGCAACCGACTCTATCAACTGAGCCACAGCCACCCCGAGGGGTCACCATCTTAAATTTGTGAATAAGATATACAGTTTCAAACAAGAATCACACTATTTAATTAAGATGGTCGAGTCATAAATTACAAATTATCCAATCAATTTAGATTACAATTAAATTAACTGATAGACGAAACTATCTGCATTTTTGTCAGATTCATTGCATCTGTTTTTGAAAGCAAAGCTTCAGTGAGGACACACACATACGTGTCTGGCACTGACTGAGCACTGGCACAGACCCTGGAAAAGCTATACAGGAAACCTCTCCACCCTCATTCTCCTGTTTCCTGTGCTGGGAGGCCTCCATCACCTCAGAGTCGCCTGAATGTGAAGAACTTTGTTCTTCTGTGCAAACAAATCATTCATGGAGACCCGTCTCTTTCTCTCATCTCCGACATGACGAAAATCAACATGCAGCTATTATCTTTGCTGAGCTCCTGACTCTGCAGAGCTGCCTGAGGCTGAAGCTCACCTGCTGCTGGGGACCTTAGCTGAACCTGATCCTGTTTAGCATAGCACTAATCTTACTGCTGGCGGCACATCACGATGCTCACACGTTTGAGTTGCCTAAAAAGAACAGTGTGTCCATAAGACAACAGTTGCATCTTCAACAGGATATAGCAGACCTTTGTTTGGATTGACCTCTTGGAAATCAAGGTCATTCGGAGTAATTTGATACAGGCAACACGAAGTAGCAATACAAAAAACAAAGACAAATAACCAAAATGTATTTGAAAGAAAAAAAAGGTTTTCCCTCGTTAATTCCACACTCTGCAGCCTTTGTCGTTCAACATTAAAGAGAAATTGTTGGAGGTTACAATTTCGGCACCTTGTAAATTCAGACATTATCTCTGTTACATATGTTTCCATTCTCCTCATTGGTCGGTTTCTTAGTGATCGTTATGAATGTCTAGAGGACACACGGAGTCAAATTCATTTGCTCCTCTCTTCTCCTTAGAGAAGAGAGGAGCGGAACTGTTGTCGATGTTTGAGTTAATTTGGCAGCTTTGAGTCATTAACACTGTGTCTTTATGAAGGGCACATTTGGGAACGTTTCTGCAGCTTCTGAATAATTAACTACAATGAAAATTACTTCACAAGAAGATAGACCGAAATCATCTAACTGCAAAAGGCGAATAATGTAATAATGAAAAAAAAATGAAAAAAAAAAGAAATCCATGGTGCTATTTAAAAACTTTTATTCATAACGTCTATCAGCTGAAAGAAAAGTTAGATATGAACCTCACTGTAATGGGAAACCCTGCACAGAGACATTTAATAACATTCATCTAAAGAATCATTTCCCATACTGTTTGTGATGTAGAAAAAAGTATTTATTCTAGTTTAAAACAATACAAAAGTGGCTCACTTACCTTCACTGTCATGGACGTGAAGTTGAAGAGTACTCTTCTGCCCCTGAAGCAGAGAAGTTTGTGGAATATCAATCGATAGCTTCACATCTTTTATTGAAACCTCACCTGCAGCAGTCGCCGTACCTTGGGACCAGAAAAATATCCTCTGAATGACCACACGGCCTATTGAGGTGTCAGGAAGAATATTAGAAGGCTTCGCAATATGAAACAATAAGATAAAATACCAGACTGGCAAAGGAAAAAAACTTGAATAATGTATGATGTGCGAAACGTGAGTATGTGTCAAGCGTTAGTTAAAAAGGAAACATGAACAAAATACACACAAGATACACACACATTGTGATCTGTAAAGGTGTCAAGGGTCGAGCAACACCCAGTGCCATGTAAAGCAGAGTGGACCAGTATTAAAACACATTTTGTACCATATTTGTCCAAGTGAATCTTTTGTGTCGAGTTCAACCTTGATTAACCTTGACGACCAAACTGCATTTATTGCTAATGGTCTTGGAAATGCTGATCTTTAAGGCCTAGTTCACAGGTAGGCAGGTATTTTTGAAAACATAGCTTTTTCTGTGCTTTTTTTGGTCTTTCAGAAACACTCAAGGCACAGAATAGATTCTGCTGCCAGGGGGCTCTCAATCAAAACAATAACAGAAGATGACGTTGAGGCTGGCAGGGAATCATTTCATTTAATTTTTATTTGTTCCGCACATGTCGTGTTTTTTTATAATTTTATCCCAACCCATGTTTGGAAAGGAGCAGGGAGAAGAATAAATCTTACATGGGTAGGTATTCTCTCTGCTACCCTCACCCCCATCCCAGATGAAAACAAATAGTACCACATTTACCATAGTGAAGACAAATGGGCGAAACAGATCTGAGGAACAGAAAGTGTTTACCGACGCTGTATCCAAGTTTAATTCACATGACGCTTTGATCACAGCAGCACATACAGCAACAGTATGGCAGCTTTCAGTAAGAATTACAGCTTCAGAATCAGAATCGGGTTTTATTGCCAAGTACATTTACACATACAAGGAGCTTGACTGGGTGTATTGGTGCAAAACAATTAACAAGGAAATAAAGCAGAACTAGCAACAATTTAAATAATACAGTATAACAAGCTATTACAATATATAAAATAGAATTTAAAAATGTAAAATATATTTTTTTTTTCAAAGTACAAAAGGTGCAATGTAGGAGCTGTGCAGTGGATTATGAGAAACAATCTTACAGTGTATGTAACCTACTCACAGAGTGCATGTAAAGAAAATAAATGTAAATTTAAAGTCCAGTGGGCGTTAATGTAACGCATAAAGAACAGTTTCAGCGTTCACATTACATTAGCTTCCTTGTGTAGCCGTCTTTGACGTAACATCTGGTGTTTCCACGGAAACACTAAAATGAAGGGTTTCTCTGGCTTTGATAACTGTTGGAAATATTTGAGGTAATGTTTAAGTCATTTAGATATAATTTATTAATTAACATTGGAATAAAATTCTACATATTGTACGTTTAACTGAAACTAAAATAAAAAAACGAGGCTTTACCAAAAAAAACAAAGCTAACTGAAGCTGTAATATGTGTTAACAAAACTAATATAATAAAAAACTTGGAGAAAGAAATGTACTGAGTTTTCTTCTTTGACACAAGCATATTGAGTGACACACTGCCTATCCTAAGAGTTGTCTCAGTCATGTCAGTAACAATATGTTATTTCAAAGAGTGTCCAAAATAATACATTTAAAATAAAAACTCTTGTCTCACACAGGTCCAAGTGCAAAATATGAAAAGAAATAGAAAATAACAAACAAATATATCAGTGCCAAACAGTATCACCTCTATTTCTCTTCTATTCACTTATCCAAAATGCCTCTCCTCCAGAGTTGTCATGTTTTTCATTTCGTCACAGGGCTTGAGTCTGAAATGGCTCCTCTTCTTTCCTAAAAAAAACAACAATTTCATAGAGTGTATGTTTACTACCTCGGAAAAGAAAAAACCCCGAACAACTGAGCTCAAACTCTTGCCTCTTCCATGCCAGTTCAACAGCAATCACAAATGCAAGATGTGATGTTTTTATCTGTCGCCGCCTCATTATTTCAAAGTAGCAGGGAGGAAATTGAAAGTTTATTGTTTTCAGTGTAGCGTTTTATTTCTCTGTTTCCCGATACCTAATTATACAAAGTGCTACTTCATTATTGTTTCGGCTGCCGAAATGAACTGCGGCCTTGGTGAATATATTTCTCTTCTGCACGTCCATTTAAGTTGGAGCTGTGCCGTGCGGAATTTCAATGAACGACCTGTGCTATTTTTAGTTACACTTTGACTGATATGTCTTTACCACTAAAGTCTACAGCGAAAAAAATGAAAGAAACATGCACACAGAGAGAACTGCCTGCGGATAGGAGACATGATGCTGCATTCTCAATTACCTGTCTGGACCCATGAAGCAGATTGAATCAGTCAGTCCATCATGTGTAATCTAGTCTTTCCTCTCTTGACTTTCATTCTTAATCTCTTTTATCTTACTCTATACCGTGATGTGCTGGTCTGTAATAAGTGAACTGAATCTGAGAGGACACTGGTGCTTCAACCAAGGAGACAAGGACTTATTCTCCTTAGCTGAATATGTATGGGGATTTTAATGGAAAGGTGGACTTTGCCTTCAGGCATTAACAGAGCACCATCTGATGGTTAGTACCTGCCAACTCTCGGTGACACTAATGGAGAAAAAAGCACTCCATCTTCTGTAGTGACACTGCCCAGCCAAGTGCTTAATAGATGCAAACATGCTTAAAGCTGCAACCGCACACGACTATAAAAGAGAGGAAAAACATCCCTGCTGAGATCCTCCACAGAAAAGTCTGAGGTTATGTGAGCCGACCTGTGTGAACACTCTGAGGCCAGGGTACAGAGACCACAGAGGCTTTCATCTTCCTCTGCCAGCTGAGGTTAGATTGGATAATTAGACTGTTTGTTATTGTACATTTTACACAGCAGATAAAAGCAAGCTGCTGGAGGGAACAAAAAGAGAGCAGCAGTTATTTCCCTTAAGAGCGATGTCCTTGTTAATAATTATTTATCTTCAAGTCACAGTTAACCTAAAAAGATAAACTGTGATTATATGAGAAATTGCTCTTTGTGCTTTTTTGTGTGTGTGTGATTGTGTGTATAAGACTGTGTGTGTGTGTGTGTGTGTGTGTGTGTGTGTGTGTGTGTGTGTGTGTGTGTGTGTGTGTGTGTGTGTGTGTGTCTTTTAAAGATGTTGGCTTCAGTAGAAACAGTAGGGGCTCACAGTGTAAAGAAGTAGAGCAGAGAGATTGACAGTTTGGTCTTTTTTAGGTGAACTTCTGACAATAAAAAGGAAGACTAGATAAGATTTCAAACACTCTCAAATGTATTTGTATCATTTATATTACACACATTTTAAAACTACAGTAACACTGAAGTGAGCACCTTAGAGACACACCATCTAGTTGTTGATGGCTGCCTGGCTGAACTGCTGCAGCTCATACCATGGTGTCAATTTTGAGCTCAACAAGTTCACCTTTTGTAAGAGGCTGTGAGAACTGGACGTTTTTTTTCATTATATAGATTAAATTGTTAAAAGGTTTAATCTGAAATCTACCTTCATAGTTTGACTATTCTAGAAATATGTAGTGGTGTATAACATGTGAGGCGTCCGTGTCAGGCTTTAGCTCTGCAAGTTTGCCTTTGTTAGAGGTTGTGAGAACTGGAATGGTAGAATTTGTTTTTATTAAAAAAAATTAAAAAAATCAAAAGAAGGTTTAATCTGAAACCTGTTCAGTTTTTACTATTCTCTGGATTTTTGGTGGTGTAGCCATGCTGTTCATGCAGGCTGCAGCAATTACAAACGGTGCATTGTACTGTAGACCAGCTTCAACTCATTTTATTTAAGCAAAAGCTGCACAAAGTTCATCAGCAAGAAAGAGTGTAAGAATTATCTGTGGATTGTCACATTCACATAATACCAGAAATAAGACTTCTTCCTTTACAGTAAAGAAACCTTAATGAATGAAGGTGAAAAAAAATGAATTATATTTTGTCTTTTCCAACAGAAAACAACCTCCATCCTTGTCAGACATCTGTTAGTGTATGCACAAGAGTCATTCTAGTAGATGATGTACAAATGTTCTTTATTTACAGCTGGTTTTTTTTAAAGGTGTGTTTTTTTGGTCTTTTTTGTGCCTTTATTGTAGAGATAGGACGGTGGATAGAGTTAGAAATCAGGGAGAGAGAGAGAGTGAGGAATGATGTGCGGGAAATGAGCCACATGTAGGATTCGAACCTGGGCCGCTGATTTGGAGGACTACAGCCTCCATACATGAGGCGTGAGCACTAACCACTGTGCCACCAGCTCCCCTTATTTACAGCTGTTATCCAATGTAAATTCAATAGTAGAAGTGGGGCTAGCAGCAGCATGTTTGCTGCAGCTGACATGTTTTCAGATTGAACACTGTGTTGGTATGAGCTGCAGCTGAACATTGAGGCAGCCATCATGATCTGCTCAGACATACTGTGTGTCTATAGTGTGACTGTTATTTTTAATTAAGTTAAATCACTTAATGAATCGTAAAAATCTCTGATTTCTTAAGCATGTTCGGTTAATCATGAGAAAATACGTAAAACCAGCATTGGTTGCCAAATGTTACAAAAAAACATGTGTGGCCATCACGATGTGGATATTTGTACTTAAATGTGTAGATGAGCATCATGTTAATGCAAATTTAAATAGACAACTTGTTATGATGCTCTTTGGCTTTGGTTCTGACAAATAGAAACCAGAGGGTCCGAGTCAACGGTCACCTCAGCTCATCTAAAACAGTCTCAACAGGAACCCCCCCCCCACCCCAGGGCTCTGTATGTAATCTCACCTATCCTCTACACACTTTACACCAATGACTGCAGGAGCACCAGCCCAGGAATAACATACATTAAATACTCTGATGACACCGTTATTATGGACACCACCAACTCAGAGGGACAGTTGCGGGCTGAGATAGACTCTTTCGCAGAATGGTGTAGGCTGAACTGTCTTGACCTTAACACCTTAAAAGACCAAAGAACTGGTTGTTGACTTCGGAAGGAATCTAACAGCATTCAGTCAACAACCAGCCCACAGAGAGGGTTGAATCATACAGATACCTCAGGTGAAAAAAATTGAATAAGCAGCAAAATAATCGGACAGCAGCTGATCAGCATCTACAACAGGAGAACAAAACTAAAAAGGACAACACATCAGCCTCAGACAGCACACACTCACTCTGTCATCTCTACAACCGTCTCCCCTCAGGCCACAGATACAGATCTCTCACTTTCCGGACTAATCGAGCCATGTCAAGCTTGCTGCCACATCCATCAGGCTCATGAACAAATGATCGATTTCTTATTTATTTTTAACACCACTCATTTAACCGCTTATAACAATTATTTATGACCTATTTGTCATACTTTTAATAGAGCCACTTGCATGTGTGTGTTTCTGCTGTTGTTTTTGTGTCTAGCTGTATGCGCACTGATGCTCTTTTACACAAATGAAGTTCCAAAGTTCCAAACGGATAAATAAAGTTATTTGAATTTGAAGTGATTTAGTTTTAAAAGTTGTCAGTTTTACATCTCCTCTATCTGTTTTCAGGGCTTGCTCCTATAATTTTGGGGGAAATGCGTGGGCTCAAACTGGACATAAAATGTTTAGTGGATACAGCTTGCATGTGTGTGTTTCTGCTGTTGTTTTTGTGTCTAGCTGTATGCGCACTGATGCTCTTTTACACAAATGAAGTTCCAAACGGATAAATAAAGTTATTTGAATTTGAAGTGATTTAGTTTTAAAAGTTGTCAGTTTTACATCTCCTCTGTTTTCAGGGCTTGCTCCTATAATTTTGGGAAATGCGTGGGCTCAAACTGGACATAAAATGTTTAGTGGATACAGCTGAAGTTTCATAAATGCCATTTCGCTTCTGAACACCTGCCACTGTTCCCCGTAAGCTATAAGGGAAGCAGAGCAAAAAACCCATTCACTTATCACCTCAATGACGGGTAGCAAAAAGGCAATAAGAACGGAATCAGCAACAGAAGTATTTGTAGACTGCTAATTTTGACAAATGTTTGAATTTTCCAGACTAGATAGATCTACATTTAGATACTTTATTCATCCCTGGAGAAAATGTAGGTGTCTTTTAATTAAATGTTGAACAAACAGGGGAAAAGACAATGTTAACTACAGCCAGAGTTACAAAAAAAAAACTGCATAGATAAGTTTAACAGACAAGTAAAATCTTAAGAGTCTCTGCAACCCTAAAAATGTCTTACTCCACCATTTTTCCCCAGGCTGAGAGAGTGATAAGAAGAAAATGCGGGCAGTGACGTTCCACCCACAGCTCAGGTCAGGAGCTGCTGCCGTTGGCCCGTGAGGCCTAAAGGCTGTGGCACAAGTCCTGAATCTTTCGTTCTGAAGTTCTCTAGAACAAGCTTACAGTTAGTCCCCAGGTCACTCTGTGGACTTTAGAATAATCCGACAAGGCTGTCAGTAGTCATTATTAGTTTGTAGCAGATGCTTGATGGCTGAGAGACATTTTTATCAACCTTCCCCCTCTCTCCTAATTACAGACCAATCAAATAATGTTCCTCCTTTAATTACACTGACGTCTTCTCTAAATTTAGCTCAATGACTTGATGCTTCCATGGCGCTCAAGTCTGTCTTTATACCCTGCTTTCAGCCCAAATAAAAAGAATACTTCTCTTTACAGAAAAAAAAAAAAGGTCTGGTCATCAATAAAAGCTTTCATATTTTGCACCGATTCTGCTGGCTGTAGCGTTCTCCACTGGTGTCTTTCATCACAGTTGCATTTTTCATGGCTTGTTTTGCTGAGTTTTGAACCAACTCTCCGTCTGAGTTGGGTGTATGTGGTTTTGAAAAAGCCCT